TTTCTGGCCATGACTGCTGGCACAAGTGACACCCATGCACCTGGGCCTCGATAGCCTTGTCTAGCCCAGGCCACCACAGATGGCTGCACGCAAGTGCTTTCATCCTGACAATGCCAGGATGACCCTCATGGAGAGAGACCAAGATTCTAGGTCTCAATGAGGCAGGAATAACTACCCTGCTGCCCCACAACAGGCAACCCTTAAAGGTGGATAACTCATGCTTCTTGAGCCAGAAGCTTTGGAACTCAGTACCTGGACTTCTGTCAGGCCATCCAGACAAAACCCATGAAAGCACACATGTGTGAGATCTGTGGCTGTTTCTGCAGCCACATCCCTGGCATTGAGCGGAGATTCAGGCAACTCCTGAATAGAGAGAATATTGATGGCAGGAGCAGGGTCTGCTTCTACCAGCTTCAAAGGTAGTCTGCTTAGGCCATCAGCGTGGCCCATCTCCTTACCAGGTTTGTGAATTAATGAATAATCATATGCTGACAAAAAAATAGACTACCTCAGCATTCTAGGGGAAATAATATGAGGGGTTTGTTTGTTGGTTGTAAACAACCCCAGCAGAGGCTTATGGTCTGTGTAGACCGTGAAATGTCGGCCATATAGAAAATCATGGAATTTCTTAATTCCTGCTACTATGGCCAATGCTTCCCTGTCTATTTGAGCGTAATTATGCTCAGCAGAAGATAGAGTCCTGGAGTAATATGCTACAGGAACCTGAGTTCCATCAGCCCTCAAGTGGCTAAGTACAGCTCCCACCACATAAGGAGATGCATCACAGGCAATGCAGACAGGTAATTTTTCATTGAAATGTGCAAGCACATCATTGGACGTTAGCAAGGCCTTGACCTCATTGAAGCTCTTTTTGTGGACTTTGGTCCACTGCCAAACTGCCTGCTTGTCTAAAAGCCTATGTAGTGGTTCTGCTACAGCAGCTTTGTGAGGTAGGAAAGCATTGTAAAAATTCAAGAGACCTAGGAAAACCTGCAGTTCACTTTTAGACTTAAGGCTAGGAGCCTGCTGTATAGCCTTCAATTTAGATTCAGGAGGGTGAATACCTTGGGCATCTATTCTGAATCCCAAGAAATCTGTAGAAATGACTCCTATCTTACACTTGTCTTTTTTTAGTTTTAGGCCTGCTCTTCGGAAACGAAGCAAAACAGCCCCTAATCTCTCTGCTAAATTCTGAGTAGATTCTCCAGCAAAAAGGACATCATCAAAATAGGGGCAAACTCCAGGGATACCCCTGTGTACTCTCCATGACACTTTGGAATATGCCAGGGGCTACATTTACCCCAAATTGCAGTCTCTTGACCTTGAATGCACCCCTATGCGTTACAATGGTCTGTGCTTCAGCAGCTGCTTCATTAACAGGTAACTGTTGATATGCCTGTGCCAGATTGAGCTTTGCAAAAACTCGCCCCCCTTGAAGGAGGCCAAAATATGGCTGACTATTGGTACGGGGTATGCGTGCTGTTGCAGTGCCTTGTTTAGTGTGCACTTGTAGTCTGCACATATGCGTATGTCCCTATTAGCCTTGAGAGGTGTGACTATGGGGGTTTCCCATGGACTTGAATCTACAGGTTCTAAAATACCTTGCTGGATCAATTTATCCAGCTCAGCATCAATTTTACCTTTTAGTGCAAAACGTACTCTCCTAGCTTTAACCCTAATGGGTGTGATGGTAGGGTCAAGCCTCAATGAAACCGGAGGCCCCTTGTAGGACCCAAGCTGTGGACTAAACACATCTGCAAACTCCTTGCAGACTTCTGCTAGGCCCAACGTTTGCAAATATTGCAGTCCAGTAACCTGGATTCCCAAGGCCTCAAACCAATCGAGTCCTATAAGACTCATTCGTTCACCCCCCAAAACCAACACATCCAATGGACCTTCAAAATCCTTGTGCTGCACTGTAAGGGTGGCCTCCCCCTTTATACATACCTTGAAATTTTGAAAATCTGTTAAGATTATGTTGGATGGCCTAAGTTTGGCCGGGAACCCACTGCTGTTGCAAATTTTCCTAAATGTATGAATGGAAATGATTAAAAGAGCAGACCCAGTGTCCAGCTCCATGACCAAAGGGACTCCTTGCAACCTTGCCTTAAGTGACAGCTTCTTTTTAAGTGGTTTGTGTGTGCCTGTTCTGCAAATACTTCTGCGCGACGTGCAGAAACCCACCCTGTTTTGGCTGGGGACCCTGGTACCTTTCAGACGCAATTCTTCTCGAGGTTGTACCTTCTGGTGACCCAGACAGATGGATGCTATGTGGCCTTGCCGGCCACATGCTCTGCAGATGGCGGAACAGAACCTGCAGTCGGCTCTCTTATGGCGACCTCCACACCCGAAGCATTTGGATGCAGCTGGAGATTTCTCTTTGCTTTCCTTCTGTTTTCTTTCCGTGGACTGGTAAAGACGATCCACCTCTTCTTCAGGATCTTCCTCCAAGCCTTCTTGGACTCCCTCATGGTGCACGGAGACTGCTTCTGGGTTGTTCCTGATGGGCTGCATGTTCTTGACTGCCCCATCTGCTGCCTCCTCAGCTGTTACCTCTCTCAAAGCATCTTGGAATGAAATATCTTCTTTTGCAAAGAGCCTCTGTTGTAAGTCTCTGTTCCTTAAACCTCATAAAAAATGGTCTCTCAGCCTCTCTTCCAAATCTTTAAATTCGCAGGGTTTGGCTGCTCTTCTCAAGGCTGCAATGAATTCCTTGGCTGATTCACCTGCCCTCTGGTCCCTCTGTTCAAACATGTGTCTCCACGCAATGACAGACATCTTGGGCTGGAAATGTTCTTTTAATAGCTTCTTTAGTCTGTGTACGTTACAGACTCTAGAGAAGTAGGGGCCGTCAAATTTTCCGCAATTTCAAACGCATCCTGACCACAGACACACAACAGGGTTGCAGCCTTCAAGCCATCTTCTCTAACTTGATTCACCCTGGCCTAAATTAATTTTCTACTCTAGCAATATAGGACTCCCATCTCTCTGGGTGAGCAATGTCAAATTCAGACAAATGCCATATCTTCGCCATCCTTGCTTCTATGTCTAGGAAGGAGTCTATCAGCCGAGCTTACCTCCAGTGATGCTATACTGGCAGGCCAGACACTGAATTTAACACTGTCTTCCCTTCCTCAAGGACTCCTTGGGTAAGTCTTACAGCTTTTCTTCTTTAAGCTTGCAAGCAATCCCACCTTCGTCACCGGTGTTAAGTCCTCGAGTTAATGGCGAAAGAAGAGCACATATTCTGTAGCCAACAGTTCTTTATTCTTCTTCTGCTCACTCCAACAACAACAACAACTCTGAGGCTCGCAGGCCTCTCTCTAATATAAGGATTGCTGGGCAAAAAGGTTACAATGAGAAAATGGCACACTTTCGCGCCTTGCGCATGCGTGCAGGCTGGAGCCATTTAGTCTGGTGCCGGGCAGCTTGCAACAGCCCAGGACCATAGCAATGTCCCGAGCCTGCTTTTGCAGGCTCAGGACACAACAATAAGCATTTTCCAATCTCTAAAATAATGTGATCTATTTTAGAATAAATGTTAAAGGCAGATTCTCCTGCCCCTGGCAAGTTGCACATCTCAACAAATTAGGCTTTTAAAATTATTTGGAGTTTTCAGCATTCTCAAGCTGCCTAGAATTTTTTTGCCTTCCAAGTTGCAAGTTCTTGTCCTTAATATGTTGCAAATGGTCAAGTTCAAAGGTGAAACATTTCATTTTGTTGTTCCCCATTGGTCTATCTGTTTCTTTAATAACTGCAATATTAATGCCTTTTCAAACTGCCTGCAAGCTACCCCCCTTCCAATTATTTTCTTGCCCTTTGTTCTCCATACCTTTTGTCTGCCTCTCCTGGAAGAGTCCACCCAGAAAGGGGGGGGGAGACCTTGTTCTTGTATCTTTCAGCCCTGCAATCCTCCCCCAAACCTTTGGAAGCAGAACACACAGACGCAGATGCTGCCTCCATCCATTTGAGCCATGGAATTGGGTTTTGAATCCAGCCATCCACTAAGAAGCCACCATGCAATCTGAGTGGAACATCTTCCCAAGTCCTACCATTCCCTAGATGCCTGTGAGAGCTGCAGAAGGAAGGAGTCCTGGAGCCACTGGTGCCATGTGAAGCCTCAGAAGAGAAAATTAGACTGTGGGGGGAGGGTGGAAACTCATTGTAAACTTTTTTTTTTTGCCCCATTTGTATTGTAACAAGCCGTGTCCCTAAGGGAGGGAGTCAGTTTGGACCTGTGTCCCGCTAGTATTAAACCACTTTAAACAATAAATGGAAGAATCAAAACAGTTTATAAGCAGTTTATGAAGGGGAAGGGATGGAGATGGATGGATGGATGGATGGATGGATGAAAGGAAGGAAGGAAGGAAGGAAGGAAGGAAGGAAGGAAGGAAGGAAGGAAGGAAGGAAGGAAGGAGAGATTGAAGGGAAAGGGATGGAAGGAAGATTGAAGGGGAAAAGAAGGAGATGGAGAAGGAAGGAGATTGAAGGGGGAAGGAAGGAGAGAGATTGAAGAGGAAAGGAAGGAGATGGAGAAGGGAGGAAGGAAGAAAGAAGGAAGATTGAAGGGGAAAGGAAGGAGATGGAGAAGGAAGGGGATTGAAGGGGGAAGGAAGGAGACGGAGAAGGAAGGAGATTGAAGGAGGAAGGAAGGAAGGAAGGAAGGAAGGAAGGAAGGAAGGAAGGAAGGAAGGAAGGAAGGAGAGATTGAAGGGAAAGGGATGGAAGGAAGGAAGATTGAAGGGGAAAAGAAGGAGATGGAGAAGGAAGGAGATTGAAGGGGGAAGGAAGGAGAGAGATTGAAGAGGAAAGGAAGGAGATGGAGAAGGGAGGAAGGAAGAAAGAAGGAAGATTGAAGGGGAAAGGAAGGAGATGGAGAAGGAAGGGGATTGAAGGGGGAAGGAAGGAGACGGAGAAGGAAGGAGATTGAAGGAGGAAGGAAGGAAGGAAGGAAGGAAGGAAGGAAGGAAGGAAGGAAAGAAGGAAGGAAGGAAGGAAGGAAGGAGAGAGAGAGAGATTGACGGGGGGAGGTGCTGCCGACGCACAAGCAGCTCTGCACAATTGTCCGGGGAGGGGGGGAGACTCTGGCGGCACATCCGGAGCCTCGGAAGCTGCGCAGAGGATCCGCGTGCCTCAGAACCGCCGGCTGCCCTCTCACACCCACACGAGGACCTGGAGCAAGATGACCTGCCGGTTCTCCGAGGGGTGGCATTTGTTGATGTGGCGGGTGAGGCCTGGCGAGCTGTAAAATGTCACCGGGCAGTATTTGCAGGGGAAGGCCTGGGTGGCATGGAGCACGCGCAGGTGACGCTCCTGATTGCTCTTACTGGGGAAGGTCTCCCTGCACACTGGGCAGAGGTGGCACTCCCCAGACAAGTTCAGCGGGCTGTGGCTGTCCAGCGCTGCCTCTTCCAGACAGGCCTCCGGAAGCGGGCGAGCCTGGGACAAGCCGTCAAGGGGCTCATGGTGGAGGGGCAGGTGCTTACACAGGGTGCTCTGTCGTCGGAAGTGCTTGGCGCAACACTGGCAGGTGAATTCCTCGGCTCCAGCAACTTCTGGTTCTCCGCTGCTGCCGCCCCCAATGCTCCCGGGACTCGGTGTATCCCACTCGCTGCTGCTACTATTGTTGCCGCCACCACTGCCACCCCCTCCCTTGGCAGTCTCCTCCGGAACAGGCTTGGCCTTGGTCGGCACACCGGCAACGTACTCACCTTGTTCTCGAAGTGCAACTTGCGGGCTGCCTTGGCCTTTCTGCCCTGAGACCGCTTCAGTGCGCCTGGACTCGGCCCATGGCTGCGCTGAGGGGCAAGCAGCGGGCCAGAAGTGATGGCAGCAGTGGCGACTGCCCAAAGCTTGAGGTTTCCTCCAGGGCCCAAGAGTAACGGTTCCGGCGCTGGGAAGGACTTGGCCGAGATGGGCGAGGCCAGGTGGAGGCTACGTTCCTTGCTCACCGCTCGCGCTGGACTGTGCAGCGGCACCGGCGAAGAGGGGCCCTCCGGCGTCCCAAACTGTGGCACCATGGGCACAGGCTTCAGCAGATTCTGAGGCAGAAGCCACGCTGGGGAAATGAGGGGTGGGAAAAGGTGGAGGAACCAAGAGCTGCACGGATTGCCTCCTTCCAGCCCAGCGGCCGGGTAGCAGGAGCAACGCGTCCGGTAAGAGATGGGCATAGGTCTGTGACTCCTCTTCACTAAAAAGCATCGGGCCATCCTCGGGCAGCTCCGGAAGGCGTCTGTGGCTGGAGATTGCTGCTGCCTCAGTCTCTGAGCGGCAAGAGCGGTTCTAGTATCCAGCTGGTCTTTCTTCGACCACCCCGCTTTCCCTCTGTCAGGCGAGCCAAGCGGGAGAAACAGAAGTGGTGGTGGTGGTGGAGGCCTCCCTTGCTTTCTGCCGCTTGTTCTCTCTCGCTTTCTGCCACGTGCTCCGAAACCGAAACTTCCTTAGTTTATATAGGAAAAAGCTGTGCATGCGCAAAGAGGAGGAAGGCAGGAACGGCTCTGCGTGCCACCTGTGGCACTTTTGAAAGCCAATAAGAGGGAGTAGCACAGCTAAGGAAAAGGGGGGAAAATGGCGGACTGCGTTGTTTGGCGACCCCCGTGAAATGGTTGTTCGACCCCAAATGGGGTCGCGACCTATAGGTTGAGAACCACTGACGTAGAAGGAGCTGGGGTCTCCTGTTCTGGAGTAAGATTGGCCATGGTCAGGCCTTGAGGAGCAAGGAGTTGAAGAGGGAATGGTCAAAGAGCCCGGTAGGTGATGCTGGATCCGATGCTGGGGTAACCTCATCATCTGATAGGATCAGGCGAGAAGAATTGTAGTCGTCCGATCCCGATGAGACGTCCTCTGTGAGGCCTGGTGCGTCAGGACGAGGTGGAGGCTGTGGTGCTGCGCCTTGAGGGAGATGTTGAGGGGCAGAAGTGGCCATGAATTGGGCCAGGGCCTGAGCTATCATGGCCTGAACCTGCTCTAGTCCTAATGGTTGGGGCTCAGGAGGATGAAGTCCTGCTGCAGTGGGTGTAAAGGTGGCTGAAGGGCCAGATATGCCCTGGACAGCAGGTCCCTGCACTCCAGGCTGAACTGTCGGCAATGAAACAGGCCGGAAATTCAAAATGGAGGCTGTAAACAAATCATGCTGGAGAAACAATTATGATACTGTTGATATTTGTGGACACAAGGTTATATTTTCCTCATGCTTGATTTACTTTTATACTTGTTAATATTTTGCAACCAAGAAAGGTCCTGTTATACAATTAAAAGCAATGGATGAAGGATTGTGTATTCTGTTATTAACACATACCATATTTTGATCAACATTGACTATTCAAGATTCTTACTTTGCCTTTAGAATTTAGAATAGAATAGAGCTGGAAGGGATCTTGGAGGTCTTCTAGTCCAGGCCCCTGTTCAAGCAGGAGAACTTATACCATTTCAGACAAGTGACTGTCTAGTCTCTTCTTCAAAATCTCCAGTGATGGAGCACCCACGATTTCTAAAGGCAAGCTGTTCCACTGGTTAATTGTCTTCACTGTTAGGAAATTTCTCCTTAATTCCAGGTTGCTTCTCCCTTTGATCAGTTTCCAACCATTGTTTTTTATCCTGCCCTCTCGTGCTTTGGAGAATAATTTGACCCCCTCTTCTTTGTGGCAGCCTCTCAAATACTGGAATACTGCTATCATGTCACCCCTATTTCTTCTTTACTTTAGACTAGTCAAACCAAACTAGCCAAATTTCAAAAAAATAATTGAAAAACCAGCCCATTCTTTATTGCAGCATAGACCAACCAGCTTAAAAAAAAAACAGTACATGTATGGTCAAAATGCTCTGGTGTAGTGGAATGTAGTCTGGAATTCCAGAATGTAGTCTGCTTTGCAGAAGGCAAAGAAGCGGCAGACCTTGGAAAGTTTGGTCAGCAGAAAGAAGATTAAAATGACTCCTCTCTAACTTTTCTCAGAGTATAACTGTAGTTATGCAAATAGTTGTTTTAGTCTGGCAAGATTCTGTTTGTAAATGAAGAACAATAATGAAACTACTCTTAAGTAACTCCAAGTGTTGACTTCCGCTGTCAGCAGCTTCAGACTAGCTACACAAATGCAGCCAGTCTTTCCCCCACTGGTTTGGAGGGCTTTTTCGGATCAAACGGGAGGGCTGCCCCCCCCCATGATCAATGAGAGTCCCCTCCTTGCTTTCCGCCTCTACGGGGTGACTTTTCACTTTCCAGGGTCCCCAGCAGGGTGAAACCAAATGTGAAAGATGGAGCCTCATCTTCCTATGTCTGCATCGCCACGACGTCAAAACTGGAAGCCATGAACAGATTTTTGAGATGGTGCCTGGGCAGCAATTACTTTGCCCATAGAACCAATCTATCAATTTATTTCGTACATGTCAGAACTCATTTCTTTGTTGGGGTGGTGGTGGTTTTGTTCCTTTTGGGTTTTTTTCTGTCTGTGGATTCTGTCATTCTCCTAGGGGGAAGGGGGAGGCTCCAGAGACCACATCTTTTCTCCTTTTTGCTTAGCTACAATGTATCCTCTGTGCCTGTCCTATCTGCTTGCTCTTTGAACTGTTTCCCCTTGATGTCAACCTGGAACGAGAAAGGAATGTGCCTCCGGCTATTTGGCTTATCTCTCACTGCGGAAGAGAAAGGTGAGAAGACGCAACAACATCTTCACAAGCATGGGAATGGGACTCTGTTCCTACAGTGGATCTAATACCTATGCATTGGCTCGCTTGAACTGACTGGACGAACTGTTGGGGTGGGGTTTGCTTGATGCTCTTTTAACCTATTGATCTGAGCAGGAAACTTTCAGATCCTGCTTTCTATGCCTGCTGTTAACTTCTCCTAATAAAAGTTCCTTTTGGAATGGAAATGTTCCAAGAGTCCTGCTTTCTTGGAACGAGGTTTTGAAGTGGGTCCTTACAGTACCATGTTTCTTAGTAAAGCTCTCATTTTTGTCCAACCATTAATTAGCCAAATTAGTCTGATTTTATCTCAAAGATGTTCACTAAGACACAATACATTTGGTCAGGAACAGTTTATTCAGCTGTTCATGTGCTGTCCATTTCTTTTGTTTATTTCTTTTATTTATTTGCATCTCAATTATTTGAGCCAACTTGAGTTTGTATGTGACTCTCACGTTATTCTTGTGGACTTGAGATGCCAACCATTTCAATCTGTCAGCCTGCCAATTATTTAAAAGATAGCCCCCAAACTGCCTGCTATGTTTTCAGATGTGCTTGTCAGACCATGCCACTGTAATTGGATCTGGTGAGTTTGATAGTAGATCAGTCTTAAATTTTGCTCACAGAGATTGAAAAAATAATTACAGCTGGAAGTAATTAAGTAAGTGCTATTTTAGTATCCTGGACTCATATTCCATCCTAAACTGATCTGGCTCTTGATGCAGTAAAAAAAACCCTGCAATGACAGTCCACTGATATTTATTATTGCACTGCTGTCCTCTGAGGATGATGATGATGATGATGCACTTTATGAGGATTTTTTTCTTTTTCCATTTTGACTTATAACCATTTGTTTAACAACCAGTTACAATGGCACTGAAAAAAGTAATTTATGACTGACCAGTCCTCGCACTTACAACTGTCGCAACATCACCAGGATCATGTGATCAAAGTTTGGGTGTTTGGCAACTGGCATGAATTTATGACAGCTGCAGCATACCAGGATCATGTGGTCACCATTTGTGGCCTTTCCAGTTGGCTTCCACAGAAAAGTCAATGGGAGAAACTGGATTCAATTAACAACCATGTGATTCACTTAACAACTATGGCAAAAAGTTTATAAATTTGAAATGACCTGCCTATTAATCACCTTGCTTAGCTACAAAAATTCTGGTCCCAATTGTGGTCATAAGTTGAGGATTACCTTTTATTGCAATGTGATTAGCATTTCCATGAAAATTAGGAGGCTGTGTCCATAGAGTCCACTGGAGACATGAGCCTGACCCTTTATTATTGTTACTAAAGTACCAGCCTCTAAATATAGACATTTATTTGTTTGTTTGTTTGTTTGTTGCCCATCTCACTGTGGGCTACTTTGGCAACTTACAACAATAAAACAGAAAAAAATATTAAAAAGTGTAAAAATAACAATAGTAAAGGAATGAAACAATAAAAATAAACAGTGAAGGTACACTATGAAATTTGACATTGATCAAATCTAGATAATTAAATCAGCATCTAGATATTAAAATATTTTTTAATGGTCAAACATCTTATAATGCATTTCTGTTGCACAGGCCCAATTTTTCTTCACTAGCTCATCCAAGGCTTTTTTTAAAAAATAACTGGTCTCCAATTTCTATGAGAAGCTGCTTTGTTTACATTAGATTTAGATTCATGCAAAAAAAAATGCAATCAGCAAATGACTGACAAATACCAATAAACCAAAAATGCTATCAACTCAAACATATTCTCACATCAAGAGTCCACATTCTTAATGCATACCATACATCTTGTACATCTTTTTCATTTTCTGTACTAAAAGTATGTTATGCTCATATGTCCTTGTCTCTTTCCAATTTCTCTTTTCCTCAATCTTATTATGCCTTACTTAATCCTACTTGAAATTGGGCAAGAAACAAGACAGCTACCCAATCTGGGGTGCAAATATGTGATGGTAGCTTATTTCCATCCAGTAGTCGACATGCTTATTGCCATCCAGTAGTCATCTAGAAGTAGGCAGCCCAGATATGGTAAGCTTAGGAAAGTCCCACAGTAAGTAAAGACTCTGCATACAGAATTTGCCTTGCCAACCATGCTTCTTCCCCTTGATAGAAGTAAAAAAAAGGTCTTCAAAATTTAATATTGAAAGAGAAATTTAAAATTGAATTTGCTGCAGTGGAAATTTACTGAGTGGAGAAGCTATGATGGGAAACAGGAAAGGTCAACGTAAAGAAAGGATGTAAAAGAAATATGTAGGCAAAAATAGCTGGATTTTAGAGTGGGAAAGGAAGAAGACAACATTTGTAAGAGAAGATAACTAGCAAAACAGGAAAGAACCTGTTTTTGTAAGAAGTCATAAAAAAGGGGGCCAGAACTCAGGCAACTGAGCATGTGCAATTAGTTGTTTAATATTAACTGACACACCTTGCATAAATTATCTCTTAATTTTAATGTACATGTGATATATGATTTAGTATGTAGCAGGAAATATGTAGGAGGCAGTCAGAAAGAGTGTAACCTCATAGTACCTCAGCCAATGGGGAAAGAGGAGGGATGTGGCGACTGGGACAAGGGATGTATAAAGAAGGAAATATTTTGGGTTAACTTTGGAGAGAACCAAGCTTTGATAGCTTCTCTCCCCGCTTATTGCAATAAATAAAACAAAAGGCCTTCACTGTGTCTTGTCTGGTTATTGGTCAGGCGAGCTTGCCTCTGGTCATGAAAGAAAGTGGCCAGGAGCACATAACACCCTGGTGGAAAGTATAGCAAAACAGAAATCAGATGGTCAATCAGGACAATTAAATATTGGTTTTATCATAGCAATCTAATTTCCCTAAATTTTATTTTAAGTGATCCTACAATGCAGATCATCTCTCTAATAGCCTTATGCCACAACTGTTTCCTGCTGCTACTGTACAGCATCAACAGTTAGACTGTGATCTCTTTCACATGCTGCTACCCTTTCTTTCTCTCTACCTTATTTGCTGGTGCAATAGTCTTTGGGATATTCATGTCTTAGAAATTTATCTAAAATGAGGAAGCACAAATGTATATCAACAACTTATGAAAAAGAGATACAGTGATATTCTAAAACTGAGAATATAGCTGAACGTTTGATAAATATTTGGGCTTATAAATTAGAGTAAACATTGAGAGGAATATACTGAGATTCTGGAAAAGGTGCAGAGAAAATGATTGGCTGGGAGCTGCAGGAGAAGGCTCAAAGAGCTAAATGTAGCTCTGATGTAGCTCTGGAGCTGTGGGTTGCCAACCCATGGTCTAGTGAAAAGAAAGACTAGGGGGTGACATAATAGCAGTGTTCCAATATCTGAGGAGCTGCACCAGAAAACATGACAAGAAGCAATGGATGGAAACTAATCAAGGAGAGAAGCTTAAAACTAAGAAGAAATTTTGTGACAGTGAAAACAATTAACCAGTGGAACAGGTTGTCTTCAGAAATTGTGGATGCTCCATTACTGGAGGTTTTTAAGAAGATACTGGACAGCCATTTGTCCAGAATGGTATAGAAACTGCTGCTGGAGCAGAGGATTGGACTAGAAGACCTCCAAGGTCCCATCCAACTCTGTTACTCTTATTCTGTTTTTTTGGGGGGTGGCATTATCAAAATGGTTCTAGGATAGAGTCCTTCAGGGTTCTATAATGTATGCCCA